TCCATTTAAGAAACCTACATGTGTGAGTTTGAGAAAAGCAATAAAATATTCTCAATCAACCTTTTTAAAAAAAGGTAAAGTGTAAATAGCTTGCCAACACATTTTCCATTCTAACTCTGATATAACAAATGGATTAATTGTTGGGTAATTTAATCAGATGGCTTGCTGATAAAATTTGAGCAAAGACTTGATGTGTGTCCAGCACTTGAAAAATTGGTGGGTTTTTCAGCTATGAGAAGTCTGTCCAGATGGCCCTAGAATGAGGGATAGTATTCAAAATGTTGTTCCCAGAGGACTGGTCAGCTGTATCTAATGTGGAAATGCTTCTGTGAATTTTTAAAAAAACATTAAGTATAACGGAGGATACTGGAGGGAGCATTTAAATGTAATCCGTTCACAATTTAGAGTAATTGACTCAGTTGGCAGGAGTCGTCTGAAATTAGGTTTTAACGGGCACAACTGCTAACACATCTATCTCATACAAACTACATCTAGAACTAAGATGCTAACTTTTTGGAAATTGCCCTTCAGTTCGTTCTTTCCAGCTACCGCCTTTCTTGGCACTATTCAGAAATTTGCCACCTGCATCAAAAGGCCTTTCTAAAGAAGTCCAACACTTGTTATTCTACTGAGAAACATTTCAGGGTACTTTAAGTCTGTTTAAACATAGATAAATATAGTCAGGTCTCAACAGTTGGGAGCAGAAACCCAACCACCTACATTTGTAGCAAGAAGACATTTTTGGATGAGCATTTTGTAACAGGCTTCCACAATAGCTGGAAAAATGAATCAAGTCTCACACATTAGAAGCAGCATGTGTCACTTTTTATATCCCTATGAAGCTTTTATGTTTCACATTAGCATCTTTCTGGAGCTCACCCATACCCTTCATAGCAGAATTTTGTACTGCCATCTGACAAAGCTGTATTCAGTCCAAGATTATAGTCTTTCACATCTGCCAAGGGCTGAAAGTATAGTGAGAGAGAAAGCTGAATCCTTGAAACTTCCCACCACAGCAAAGAAGCAAATTTAACAGGCCCCCAAGGAAAACCCATTAAGACCCATCATGCATCCATCAAAAAGGTGATCATAATCTAGACTTTACAGGCTGGAACAGTACTAAAGGAAAAGCAAATAAAACAGTTCTGAGGAATTCCATCAAGACAGACAGAATCACCAGGAAGGGAATAAAAAATGTCATTTTAGTGGATGTAGCTACATTTAAAAGAGGAAAAATATTCTTGATACATGCTAATGTAATTGTGTGTAATATCATATTGTGCTCCTTATGTTATTTCTTACAATACAGGACTCATTCTATCATAAATAAAAGCTGTATGAAAGTTTTCTTTGGTTTAAATGTTCATACAGTGTTTAGATTTCTTTCCTTCTTCCAATCTTCAAAGCTAGATCAGGTCCCTTGCACTTGATTTTAAAATACTTGTTCAATTTGGTTTGTAGAAACAAATTGAAGACAGACTAAAGGATATCAAGAGCTGCTTATAAATAAGAGCAAATTAAAAAAAAAAAACGAGCTGTAAAATCTAACAGAAAAAAACTGATAATCTACAACTATGGTCCCCATTAATTTATTTTAGTACCATTCTTGCCTGTTAATATAAATATGTATATTACTAGCATAATTCATTCACACACATAGCACACAAAAGCACCGTCAAAAAACAATTTTTATGGTATGAGTAATTTAGATTAAATCAGATGCAGCAAAATCAGTTTTGCTTATGCTTTCCTTCAGTTCCATTGCTTCATGGAACAGTTTTGTTAAACAAAATATAAGGTGATGCTGTTTTTACTGTGAGATGGTACCAGGGACAAATACACTAGACAGTGCTAATTGCAGGAAAACGCTGAAAAATAGAACTGACTAGTGACTATACCAGCGGAGGTGGCTGTTAAGGAAAGTGTTCTTCTGCCATTAGTTGTTTTTTAATAGATTTAGAAATCCTTACGGTCTATCACTTTAGATGGAACAACATTTTGCTCTGTATGGCAGTGAGAATGATAGGGCTATTAAATCATAGGGAGGGAAGGAAAATGGGAACAAAGGAGTAACTCAATACTCTTTCAAGTCCTGGAAGTTTTTCAGGATGTTCACAGGTGGAGTGGAAAGTGAGAAAATGAAGAGATTAAAATAATTTAAAGCTTAATTATTTCAATGGGTTTTTTTGGAGTAATAAGAAAAGGAATCCTGCTTCTCTTCTCCTTTCCCATCTCATGTAGATGTAGATGCAGAAGTCCTCCATAAGGTACATGGTAGCGTAACTGGAAATTGTCTTCAAATAAGTTCAGAACATGAATTACACAGAGGTACTGGCTTCCTTGATCTCCTAACAATTACTTTATTTATTAGGTGTGTGATAGCCTGGGGGTTATGATGGAGTACTGTATTGGCAAATAAGGAAAACCACAGTCAGGAGTTCTGTCTGGAGGGAAGTTTGGAAGCTAGAGTAACCAACAAAATAATAGGAGTACAGGGACAGTCTTTGGCTTCTCCCCAGCACCTATCAAAACTTTTCCAAAGAAAGCATGGAAATGTCCTTACCGTATGCTTAATTAAGGAGGAAAAAAAAAAAAGCTTTAACAGCTGTGTGTATATGAGGTTTTAAGACTGCTCTCTGCAGTAGCTTTGGTCCCAGAAGCCAAGAAAATGAATTAGACAGTCAGAGCAAATTCAGACAACTGCATGATTTTAATTAAATCCTTTGATAAAGCTAGTGCCTATTTTTTTCTAATAAAAGGTTCTAAAGTTTTAGAAAAAATCAATAGGTTCCTGAACAATAAGTGTGGAAAATTTGGGGAATAAATCAATCAATAAGCTAGAAGTTAAAGGGACTTTAGTCCTGCCTTAAATGAAAATCTTAGCGCAGCTTCAGCTACACAGTTTCTATGGAAAGCCTCGGCAATATTGGTATCCAGTGCACATATTATCCCACATGAATGCCACTAACATATATTAAAGAACTGTCATGGCAATACAAGGAACACAAACCAGCTGATAGTATGAAATATTCTTAACATAGAGAAGGTGTGCTTTTTTTAAAGTTACAAGGATTTTAAACAAATAATTGCTACGAATATGACTGCCAAACATTCTTATCATGACCTTGCTTTGGAGAATTTAAAAGAGGCGCTCATACAGCCTTGATTCTTGAATGGCTGATCTGTGGATGTCTTGATATCATCAGAATTAATCTGAAGATACTTCCAGCATGTCATATAGTTTATTCTTTGGCATTGATTTGCTTACTGTGATCTGAAAGAGGTATAGCTACAGAGACAGTGCAGCAAATTGAGAAATAACTGTTCTATTTATATGAATATGGTGCATAATTATGAGTATGCTTATGATGTCTTGCTTCCTAAGAAGGCAGATGAAAAGATGCTGCTAAAGGAAACATCAGGAGTGGCAAAACAATGACAAAGTCACTGAGAAGATAAAGGTGAAGCTAGCCTTTGTGGAATGCCTGATTTTGCCCTCTCAAGGTCAAGCTGAGAAAACAGAAACACGCTCACTCCAGAGGATCTGAAACATAAAAAGCAGAGACCCACATTTATCCCAGCTAACTTTATGCACTCAACTGAAGTGCCTAAGTAATACCATTTTTCCTTATTAGGGGAAACACACACATCTTCCAAAAATAGTTTTGCCTGCCCAAGGTCTGCATTGTCCTCTACAGACATCTGTCTCTCTTACTACAAAAGAAATAAAGGGTGCCTGCACTCCTGCTAAAGTACTCCAGCTAGTGGAACAACAGGCCACTCTATGAAATTTGGGAATGAGAGACAGGATGGCAGATACAGCTAGATAAAAAAGAAACAGAAACTGCTGAAGAGCGATTGACTTCTCATGCCTCTAGAAAGCGAGGCAACTACTCTCTGAAAGGTACACAAACATGAACAGAAGGCTATGATCACACAGAACAATCAGAAATATAGATGCAGACCTCAATTTTTTTCACCATCTAGTTTGTAAGGTGTCTAGCTGAAAGCTTGTCTTGATGAAAAAAACCTTGGAAGGAGCGAGCTTATTAAAGTAAATGTTAATCAGGCCTGTCATGCTAATATAGCTGCAAAACAAGGGCCTACAGATCTACCCAAAGGGAAGGACAGAAAGCTAGAAGTGCCCTCAAGGGACAAGAAGTTATCTGAGACACAGATAACTTCTGCCCTATAACCATGGCAGACAGCAATTCCAAAACATCTCTGTAGAGCTTGCTTACATTGTCAAATGTATCTGCACTTAAGAGTGCTAAATGCTGAGCTAGTACAAAGCAGTGTAGCTTTGCTGCTTGTAAATGAGCTGTATCATTTTACACAGCTGACTGTCTGGCTGCCGTAAAAATTCTACTTATTACTGAATGTAAATGTTCTAGTTATAAGTTGCAGCAACTTTCCCCTCAGCTTCTGACCCTGTTTCCTTTATGGTGGTTTGAGCCCATCCTCTAAATAAACATCCTCATTAACAGATATTAAATTAACTCATGGGCATAGTTGAAGCAGAAGAGGGGCTCATGCACACGAGGAAAAGGACGCAGAAAACATAGCATAAATATCTGCAATTGCCAGTGAATTCAGCAGGAAGCAGAGATGGTTCAAAATACATTGTCTTACTGGCTACTGACCTGTTAAAAGTGCTTCTTCCTGTTACAAGAAATCCTCACAAGGAACCAAAGCGTATTTCACCTCAACATGTTAAATTCTCACAATGCATTTCTCAGGTTGACTGCAGAAGTGCTTCATTGTAGATACAGATCTGTCTCTTTCAATTACCAGTGCAGACTACAAAGCATTTTAGTAATGCCATATGTCAATTTAGCTTGCTAAGATATCCTAATTGGCTCTTTTTTAACTTCAGTGATAGCAGGAAAAGAAAGATGTGCTTAGCAGTCATAAGTATTTATGCCTTGGCACCATTAAAGTGTCTAGCCAGCTCTTAGATTGAATGTAGCTGCAGAAGGTTTGACGTTGATATATAATACCTGTTTTTAATGTGCTGGGGAGAACCAAGACACTTGAAACTTCCATTGACCATAATAGCAAGTCGTGTGCAGAGGGCCTCGCATTCTTCCATACTACAAAATAAAGTGGGGGGGAAAAAAAAAGGTTAAGAGAATAATAGTGAAAACAGAGAACATTATTTATACGTAACTTTAATTAAAGTGGAAGGAACCTGGACAGCTGCAAAAATGGGTACACAAAACCTTTGACTTTAAAGGCAACAGTCCAAATTGTAACTCTAGTCAGTACATACCTAAAACGGAATTTATGTTTTTAGTCCAGAACTAATTGGACAATTCTGGCCACAATACAAAGGTTTTATTACCACAGGCAAATACCTGATAGGCAGTCTCAGAAATACCACTGAGTGTGAAAGCCATGAACTCTGTTATTCCCTGTACTATCTGTTTGTGGTCATTCTGAGCTAAAGGATGGAGGGAGAAGAATGAAGAAAGTTTGCTCAGCTTGCCTCTTGCATGGTACACACCCTTAAAAAGTAGTTACCCTTAGTATGATTGCTGGATAGAAGAAGATGCAAACCACTACAATCCAAATAGAATTTAGGACATGGAAATGCAGCTGAATAGAAAAGCAGGATGCTGTTAGATGCAACTGCTTCAGATGATAAATAATAACTTTGACTTGTAAAGCTTAGGGCAGATGGGCTGTCATTCTACATATTATACAGCATTGTGTGAGCAGTTCTTCCAAAGCATCACTTTAGACATAGGACGTCAGTCGGGACATATGCATCATCTCAAAGAGGAGTCAAAGTTGTCTGATGTTCCTGCAATTCACTGCGTGCACTCCCCAACCCTTCTGAGATAGCTAAACAAAAGTTGTCTTGTGTGCCTCAGCCATGTGCCAGTCCAAATTAAAGTGCTTTTACTGAACAAGCATGGCAATTAAGTACCCTCCTAGGAAAAATTTCCTTAAAACAGGACAGGGATATGGTGAGAACTGCCAAACCACTATATTTGAGAGAGATGGGGAGAGGACTTGCTAACAAATCAGGAAGTTCGCTGAGTCTCTTTGGGGTGCAGTAACTCCTAATGCTCCCCTTGGCATAACACTCCCCAGCTGTGACAAAATAACAGAAATTTAGGCCTGTATGGACAGTTAATACAATCTCACTCTTCCCCCCCTCAAAACAAAAGTTAAGCATTTTCTCTGAAAATTAAGTGAATAGACCTCAAAAACTAATCTTTGCACAGGAAACCTTCTCTCTAGCTTATGCACTTATTTGCTGATATGCATGAAGATTTACTTCCTTTATTCATACAAGTAGCCTTTGAAAGAATCTCAAATAAATCTCCAGTGGCCTTCAGCAAATAGTATAAATAGTATAAAAGAATTTCTCCTTCCTCCACCCTGGCACAACAATGTCTTATTAATTGGAAATGAAATGTGTACACTATCACTGTACTTATATCTCCTTCAAGTCATTAATTTGTAGAGCTAAATGAATAATTAGTAACAATTTGATGGTTTTGTTGGTTTGTTTGTTTGTTTACAGCATATTAGTAACGAGACCACAGCTCTCTTCTGTTTAGCTGGTGTTTGACAGCTAAGGGTTCTTAATCTGGACTGAAAAGTCAAAGGACACTGCTTCCTGAAAATCACTCAACTTAATTCACAATGCATAACTTGTGTTCCCTAAATGAATGAGCTGGTAAGCACTTGGGGATCAAATACAGGTGTGTGATTTCAAGATTCAGCTTCCCGAAATAGAATACTAGAAACTTTTGAGAGCATTTTTCCATCAATAATGTAGCACACACATGTACAGGGACAACAAATACATTTTGAGAACATCTGAAAAAATTTAACAATATCTGGAAAAAGTTGAGGGAAGTTTTGCTGCATTCTTTTATTGATTCATCTATGCTTCAAATCTCATTTGGCCAAAATGTTACATTGCTGTTTTGATTAATGAGTTCTGTCCTCTCCGGGCATGTTTTCATGACCTCTCTCTCACTTAAATGATATATTTTATATATAATTATATGTACTATACCATATTCCCTAAGGGAACATTTAATTTATTCCATTTTACTATAGATGTTACAAAACAGTATTGGTGTTTCCTCCATTAAACTGATATACCAGTGACCATATCAGAGAATTGACAAGATATTTAATGTAGATTGACCCCATCCTCTTAGAAGAGTCTCTCCTACCATTTCCAGTAGTGCATACAGAGAATAGCTGAGGCATCTGGTTTTAGGATACCATGGCATACTCTTTTCATACACTGATGCAAAACAGAATCCTTAATAAAATCAGGAGAGGGTTTTTCATTCCCACCTCCCTTTGTAAGGATTTGTAAAGTGGCCAGCTGCAACAGGGTAACCTGGTGTTCCAAGCAAGAAGAGACACTGCAACATTGAATAGAAAGAGCATAGAAAAGGAAGAATTCATTGCATCATTTTTTCTGTGCCTGCAGCCACCTTGAGCCACATTCTAATCCTTGAAAATTAAATATAGAAAATATTTAGGATTTACACGAGTTCAATTTTCACAAGCAGGAAAGAATTGCCATAAAATACCAAGACATATTCCGCATTTCACACCAGGGTGTGAATATGCTCTTCTGCTCTCAGTTGACAGCAGGTGAGGAGAGAGAACAGGAATATGCTGGCTGCTGGGATAAGGGTCTTACCTGTGGGATGTCAGCACAGCTGCACAGCCATCCTGAACTTCCTTCAGGATGGTTTTCCAAAGGTAGCGTTTAGAGCAGGGATCCATCCCAGAGCTGGGCTCATCCTACAGGAAGAATGGAAATGACGATACAGCAGCATGGGAAAAACATACCACAGCTCCAGCCCAGCATGAAGAATTAACAAAACTCACAATAAAATCATATATTTTTGTCTAAAAAATCTATATTTTCAGGAGGTCACTTAAAAGAGACCCTGGACAGTTTTTTGCTTTAACACATACAGTTTCATAGAATCATAGAATCATAGAATCATTAAGGTTGGAAAAGACCTCTAAGACCATCAAGTCCAACCATCGACCCAACACCACCATGCCCACTAAACCATGTCCCTAAGTGCCTCATCCACTCGTCTTTTAAATACGTCCAGGGATGGGGACTCAACCACTTCCCTGGGCAGCCTGTTCCAATGTTTAGCCACTCTTTCAGTAAAGAAATTTTTCCTCACATCCAATCTAAACCTCCCCTGGCGCAACTTGAGGCTATTGCTAATCATTTCTAAATTTATAGAAGGCATTTTTTATTAAAGAAATTTATATATAAAAATTATATGTATGTATATTATTTAATAATATAAATATATTATTATTTATAAATATAACTATATATATTTAATAATATATATACACTTAAACTATTTTTAATAGGAGAGACTTGCAGGTGTTTTTCCTCACTTTCTGGGAAGGTTTGGTGTCTGTTTCTCCCCTACATGCACATCTGCCATGAGCACAAACAAGTGGAGAAGTCATCCTGTAACTCCCAGCTGCCTGCACTGCCCATCCCATAGCCAGATGTGGAGAGTATGTTTGGATTCAACGTCCTCCAACAGTTACTGCCAGAATCCCTTTGAGAGGAACTCTCGCGCATGGTGGAGAGAATCCACAGGATTAAATAACAACCCAGTCAGTGTTGCCCAAAGCAAACCACCTGGCAAGCCCATTTCCCACTTGGGTGGCTTTCATGGAGAAAAAAGTGCAGCTACAAAAACTACATTTCTGCTTCCTATCTAATCCTGCTGTCCTCACTAAATCAAATTTTAACTTCATCTACTCATGGAAGCAGAAGGAATGATATCTGATTGTCAAAGGCCAGTCTCTGTCACTACAAAACTAGGGAGAAGGAAACTTTTCCAGTTGCTTTTTATACTATGGAATTTCACGAGGGGTGTCAGCACCTATTAGGGTGGTATGGCCTTGGCCAATGTATTAGCAGCAAGGAATCCCAGCTGAAATCTGGAAGCAAAGTTCTCAAGAAACAAAGCAAACAAGACATCGAGTTTGATGCTGATTTTGGTGCTTAGCTATCAATGGTTGAGGTGAAAAAAACCCCAAGTTCAGTCTCCTATTATCTGTGGATAGCTAACAAAGAAAACGTAAAAAGCAATAAAAACAAAGCAACCCACGCTATTACTTAAATTGATGGCTATGATCCTGGATGCAATCTAGAAGCAGATTCAGTGGTTTACATCGGTGTCTTTGCTTTCAGACAAAAAAAAAAGCCTTTTAAAATACTGAATAACTCCTTTAAAATCTGCTAGCTTTCTAAAGCCAGCCAAATGTTTTAAAGCATTTGACATGTTTACGTATTTTTCTTTCCTCTTGTCATTACATATGCAATAGTCTGTGCCCTACAGCAAGAAGTAGGTTGAAATGGATACTTGCAGTAGCTTGCTGTCATAAAGACATTAAAAAAAACTTGGAGCATTTTCTAAGATCAGGAAAAAGCACTGATTTAAGATTATCTCCTCCTTTTACTAACTGAACCAGGGTCAGTTTAAGCATAAAATGTAAATAAAATAATTCAGCTCAGAAGTGAGGCAATGATAGGAAGCAGCAAAATGTGTCCAACCTTCTGAAACATGAACCCCGTGAGAACGCCAGTTTTATCTAGTTCTACTTAGCCTGCGATCTGTTACTGGAAGCACTGTTTCCCCCCCCCAACTCTGGGAAGAAGATTCCCTCCCTCTGACAGTTCTGAAAGGTTTATTGCGCTATTGAACTGGTTTAGCTCTTCCCAGCCAAGGCTTAAGAAAGGGATGTTCAGTCTTCTCTAGTGAAACGATAGGCAATGATAAGAAAGAGAATGTGGTGTCATAATGATGCAGTTCCCAAAGCTTTGTAATTCCCTGGTCTTCAATACAAAAGGCATTGTTTAAACTGGAAAGGCCAGTTTCAGGCCTAAATGAGCAGTAGGATGCAAGCACCAAAGCAACATGCGATAAATAATTCAAATTAATATCATTCAGGAGTATGAGTTTGATTGTGTGATTTGTGAATCCAACAAAAATATAAGAATTAGCCAGATTTATGAAGCATGACACAGCAAGGAATTAAATATCCTGAAAAAGATGAGTCAATAATTAATAACACCAACTCCAAATTACTAATTAAAACAAGAATCTTCCTTAAGGAAGCCAGTAGAATTGCTCATATATGTTTTTCTCATGTTATATACAAAGTAGAGAATACATAAAGCATTAATATATTTTACATTAAACTATTTTTTTCTTAAAATCTTAAAAAAAAATTACATATCCATTTGGGCCATGGGATGCTACAAGTGCATTTGTGTGTGTTTAGGGTCTTTTTTTTTTTCCTGCTCACCCAAATACCCCGAGGAAAAAAAAAGAAAGAAAAAAAAGGAAAGAAAAAACAACTTCACTTTCTATTTTTGTGAGCACTGGAGAATAAAATAAGTAGTGTTCATACAGCAGAACAAAGAGAACAGTTGTACATCTGTGTATCAATTACTCCCTAACTGACCAGGAAACTACCTGATTTTCTTTAGAGCAACATACAAGACAACAAAATTCAATATAATCCATTTTTCATAGGCGCAGTATTACCTTTACTCACCAGTAAAAGTATTTGGGGTTTACCAACTAAAGCCACGGCAGTAGAGAGCTTCCTCTTTGTGCCAGCACTGTATGTTCTCACCAGTTTGTCGGCATGGGCTTTGAAGTGTAACCGGTTAATAAGGTCCTCTGCAACCTGTGGTTTAGAAATTTGAAGGCCAGCAAAGATGAGCCAAATTAGGCAGTCTCTGTGCTTAGATTGAAAAAACACTCTGTTCATGCATATTAAGCAAATGTACACGTTGTTTCCTCATTTACCCCTATTTGCTGCGTTTTATTACGTTTGAATCCTAGACACATACAAAAAGCTGCTCCGGGACCCCTTCGTTCTCCACAAAGGATAAGGATTTTCTTATACAGAAAATTTGGCTTTGTCATTGCTTATAACAGTTCTTTGCATTCATTTTGTGTTGATGGGTCAATTATCTAAAATATTCCTCATTCCACCTCGCTCTCCGGTATTTATTTGATCAAACATCTTAGTGACTGAAAATTCAGGAAAAAAAATTCTACATCAGCCACAAAAACATGGAAATTGCAGAAAAGCAGGTCACAGGACAAGGATTTAGAGTTTCTTAAAGACAAAAGGTAACTTAGGGTTAAATTAATATACCTTTCTAATAACTCAGAGGGGTAAGCTGACCCTAGCTGGTTTGGTTGTAATTGCTTAAAAAAGTATGTGATCTGAGTAAGCTGGGCAGGCACATGAACACAGCTGGAGACAATTTTCATGCTGTCCTCTATGGCCTTTCTTCCTTACCTGTCAGAGACAGTCCTAACGTACAAGGTTCCCTCAATTACTGGTGCCAGAGAATTTTAAATGTAGCAAGAGCCTTGCTCCACCTATACCAACTATCACTGCTGTACCATCCCACGAGACCTCATACAAAAACATGAGGGACATAGCAGTGACTTTTCTACACGCCACTGCCAGATGCACCCTGCAAAGCAGCAGGTGTTTTTGGCGTGCTGCTGGGTGGCTGTATCATCAAGGGGTGATCAAATTTGTAATAGAGCCAGTATGTCTTCAACCTGGATGTACCGCAGTTGGGAGATTCTTGTAAAACAAGTAGTTGCATGGTGCTCTATTACCTGAGATCAACTGCCAGAGCATCCCCAGCAGTATGGTGCATTCTTTTTGCTCACTCTGCACTACCTTCAGCAAAAAGCAAGGAAGGACTGGAAGGATTAGTCAGATCAGATGGACAGTCTCCAATTAATTCAGAAAATCCAATAGAAAAAAAATATATCAATAAACATTATTGTGAATTAATATTCACTATCCATTTCAAATAAACTGCCATAAGCATAATAATATTTTTATAAGACAGTTTTATGCAAACTCCTTAGAAAATGATCAAAATGATCTGTGACCCTTTTAGCAAGATTTTTCAGTGCTACGTATAAAAATAAGAGACACCTCCAAGAGCAAGTTCTCTGTAAGCAGGAACAATGCTGCAGTGTTGAGAATCTGCAGTATTCTAGTGTGGATCCTGGCACTGGTATTAACAGTCGCTTGTGTTCGGTGTATCTTAATGTATAACCTGACAGCGATGCATGTTCTCAGACAAAAGCTACATTTCATAAATATTGCTCTAACTACATTAAATACAGAGAGTTTTTAAAAAAAACCCGTTCAATCAAAAAAAAAACATTCAATCAACAGCCATTAAACCACCCACAAGTAACTTTATACTGAAAAGTTTGAGTCTTTTGCTATTTCAGGGTTAATTCACAGTGGTTTACTTTCATTTAGACACTACTGCTGCATACCAGTAGAAGTGCTATAAATTCAAACATTATGTGGCTTTAGAAATGGTCAAGCATCTAAGCTATATTCTAAGATATAATAGCTGACCTTTTTTGTTGGTTTGTCATTTTGGTTTTTGTTTTCGTTTTTATTTACTTCCAAACATAGGTCTTATTATACACCAAAACAGCCTGTAAAGTGAACATCTCTAAAGCATATGGTAGACAGTTTATCCACTCTACTAAGCTGACTTGACTTTTCTACCACTGGGAATGCATGCATGTTAGTGACAACAGGATTATCCTCCTACAAATCCACCAACAATATACAGAGAATTGCACAGAAAAGCTCATCAAAAAATTAAGACCAGAAAGTGGAAAAATATGCGATCTATTGTTTACACCAAAATAAACATATATTGCAAACTACAAGAGGCTTCAAGAGTTATTAAAACAATAAGGAAAAGAGGACTACGTATCACGGTTGAAATGTGGTAAAAACTATCCTTTAGCTATGACCAGAACCACTTTTTCTAAGACCGCTTTGAAGTGTTACCAAAACTCTTAGTCTAAGTCAGCAAAATGCCATTCTTTGAAAGAGACAATGAACAGGGAAGAATTTAGAAAGCCAAGGAATAGTGCCAGAGAGAGAAGAAAAAAACATTCAAGTAAGCTAAGTCTTATTGTAGTCTGTAGCCCTCAAGGAGACTGAATCACATGTCAGGTATGAACATAATGCTCTTTGTAGGGAGCAACATTAAAAAGAATCAACTTTGCAAGATTTACAATTCTACATGTAAAATCCTCCCAACTATCTGGTATGCACTCAAGCATTCAGTGCACCTATACCCATGACTACGCCATCTCCTGTTTTGTACAAGGGGAGAAAGCCTGGCGAGTCCTCTGCTATGGGAATTTTGCAAGACAAGGTTTACTTAAGGTAAAAAGAGAGGGGTGGGAATCATTTCATAGTACCCACTTTGCTGCTGCTTTGAATGTTTAGAGCTTCCAAGATAAAGCTTGCAGATCATTGCAGTGCACACCACAATCTGGCTTGATATCTAGATACACTTCTCTGGTGCAAAACGTATCAAATTAGAACAGGTTTGGAGCTGAATCACATCAGCAACATAATGGCAGAAGGATTAGCCGGCTTTCTTACTCCTAATCATTTCCCAGCTGCACCTAAAAAAAAATCCTCTACTCCTGCTATCCTCCTCAACCCTTACATTTCAAAGGAACACCGCAGAGCATGCTTCAGCAAACATAAGAATACAGAGCTCATTATTCTTTCAAGAGATGACCCCAAACCTTTTTCTCTTTTCTTTAATGGATATAATAAGATTTCCAGAAATAACAGTCACAGCTTCATCAATATGACCTAAACAACAAAAATGTCATTTGAATGAAATTAGAAATATTATGTATTAGGTATATTGTGGAGGATCCTGCACATCTCCATTATAACTTCATTTATCTGTATAACCAGTGGTATCTCGTGGTTTGCATCATAGGACACTATAAAGTAAAAATGAAAATCCCTTTTAAACTACTTTAAATGAAATTCAGAACTGAACACATGACAAATCTTCAAACAGATACACACAATTATGCAAGAGATTTACAATTCTAATGGTTTCCTTCCTTTAGTGAATGTGAGATATATACACAAGCACCTTCTCTCCCTCCTTGTCATATTCATCATGATGTTTTATTTCTGGTTTCAATTACTTTCAGCACTGAAGAGTGAGGAGATACATCAATTTATTTAGCAAGTTGGTAACATTGAGGCCAAATTAAAAGACACAGAGTTACATGCAAATATATACACTGTGAGTGCACTTAAACCATAAAGATGTTTTACCTCCAGTCATGGCTGCAGTAATGCATTTAAACTCTTTCCTTCCTCCTGCCCCCCCCCCCCCCCCACCCCCTTTATAAAATACATTCTCTTTAACTTTACATCTATCAGCTGACAATTTCCCTCATTTCCAATATTCCTTAACATGATTTACTTTTCCCTCATCAATTCTAACACCTTTAGCAAAAGTTCTTTTTCCCCAAATTAATTTAGACTAGTTCCCCTAGCTCTGGAATAGGCATTGGAATGAGCCCTTCAATCTGTAAAATCTAAACCAAATCCTCCAATACTTTGTGCATTTCCTAAATACTACATTCATTCCAGAAGAGGCAGTAAGGTGACTTGAATTTTTGCACACATGTTAATATTTGTGGGAGTAAAGGTTAAAGTAGGCATGGTGTCCTCTATCCACCAGGGAACCAAGAAGCACATCTACCTCACTGAAAAGCAGTAAGTGATGCTAATTATGTAACCACTAATGCTAATGATTTTCCACTCTCTTTGAAAATTATCATTAATATTCAAGTAAAAAATTAAGTGGTACTGAGAGTTTTCAGTTAGTATGTCTTCCAGAAAAACTTGGAGTTAGCGAAGACTTAATCTATTAGAAGACTAGAAATGTGATAGCGTGTCTATCCTGACTTGAGAGGCTGTATGCATAAGTGTATTAATTTTGCATCATTTCTGACAAAATAAATACGATGTATAACTTCTTGCTATTTTATTTTGAACAAACCCTTATAAAGCAAACCTGACCTAATACTGAAAATGTGTATCATACCTAGTAAAAATTATAATAAGCATGGGATAAATTCTAGAGTTATCTGAAAAATAACTATACACTTCCAAAATAGTCATTCAAAGTGTCAGGTTCTGGGTAAGTGAATGCAGTGTAGTTTGAACATCCTAAATAACAATCATTCATCAATTCCACACCAAACAGTATTCATTCTGCTTCAGAGTAAACTCAGAATTGTTAGATTTCTTACGTTAGGAAAGTGTATACTGATGGTCAAACTTCTAGGGAAAAATAGTTCTTTATCCCAGAATCTTATAAAACTGTACACACTAATTCTGCTTGGGGTCCAAAAAAAGCAAGCATGCAAAGAATAAATGAATTTACAAATTCCCGTTTCCAGCAGCTATAGAATATAACATGTAAGGAAGTCAATGAGATCCCAGAGTCCGTGCAAAAGCCCTCCTGGAGAGTTAACGTAAAGAGAAATCATACTGACATTCCAAGAAGTTGCCTCTGAAGGCCTGATGAAGCTTGTTTTGAGATTTGCAGCACAAGTTTTAATGCAAATGAGAGATTTCATTTAATGTTGTGTTAATATTTTATATTTTTTAACAAGCTGTATGCTGTCTTTTGGAACAAATTGAGATATTGAAACTTGATATATTAAAGAAATAAAAATAAGAATTAAAAATACTATGTCACATTAGTAACTGTCTAAATAGCCCAAAAGCTCTACTCTAACTTTTCCAGTTTTGCAGCAAAAAGAAACTTTCAGAGCACATTTGGG